GGGGAAGAGGGAAGGAAAGGGGGGGAGAGAGAGAGAGAGAGAGAGAGAGAGAGAGAGAGAGAGAGAGAGAGAGAGCCCGAGCGCGGGAAGTGGTGGGCGGAAGTGGGCCGCTGCTCCTGCGGCCGTGCTGGGCCCGGGTCCAGCCGCACTCCGGACCATTGTTTCCCTGCCTGGCCCCCCAAGTCCAAGTTCATCTGGGTGTGACATCATGTCTGGTTGCTCGGGGAAACCAGACGGGCCAGACGTGACACGGGCTACGGGATGGGAAGGAGAGCGGCCCGCGATCACCGCCAGGGAGCAACCCAGGCCCAGAAGGGAAGGGAAGGGAGGGAGGGAAGGAAGGAAAGGGAAGGGGGGGAGAAGGAGGGCTGGAGGGGGGGGGTCCCTCCACTGCTCAGAGCTGCTGACACCTTTCCCTGCTCAGCCTCCGGATTGGTTCTCTCTCAAGATCAGGCCTTTCCAGCCCTGGGCACCGCCGTTGCTTCACTGTTACGGGGGCTCTTCTCCCCAGGCAGGATGGCCATTGCAGGGAAAGCGCAAGTCCCCGCTATCGAGAGAACTACTCCAGTGCGAGGAGACTGATAGTGTGCCCCCAGCCACCCCTTCCATCATAACGTGGCGTGGCCTGGGCAAAGGGGGAACCTACTGGCCAACACCCGTGACGTCACGGCTGCTGAGCAATATGTCCTTCCCCAGTCCCATGCCATTTTTAAAACTTTAAAAAAAAAAGTTTTACAGTTTTCCCTGATTTTGTTCAGCGGCTCAGCACCCCCTGAGCTGCTGACTCTTGCAGGGGCCTTTCAAAATCCGGGAGGAAGACCAGCAAGGCTACTGGCGATCTCTCCAGCAACCCCGTGCCTCCATCTTGTGAACCAGTTCCTTCTGTGTCTTGGCTGGGGATCTCTCCCCCTCTCACACATCTGCCAGCTGTGGAGTCTTGTGAGCAAAAATTCTACTTTGTGAGCTGCTGGCATTACAGTTGAGAGTGAGCAGTTTGGCCACTGCATAAATTAGTTTGCTCTGGAGCCCCATCCTCCCTGAGCTGAGACAAAAATTTGTGAGCCGGAGGCTAAAAAACTGTGAGCTAGCTCACACCAACTCAGTTTAGAGGGGACAGTGCTGCCAACCTGTTATGCAGGACGAATTACGACACCAGTGCTGCACCCAAGCAAGGCCTACTTTTGTGTTAAAGTAGAAGCAAGTTTAGAAACAACCTGGGTTGCCATCCTCCAGGTGAGGCCTGGAGATCTCCCAGAATTACGATAGATCTCCGAACTACAGGGATCAGTTCCCCGGGAAGGAAATGGCAGCTTTGGGGGGTAGGGGATGGGCCAAGAACATATTTTCATACATAAGGCTCAACCCGCTCTGAAATGCGAATGCAATTATTATATGGCCAAAAATGTACACTGTAGCTCTGGGGTGTCGAACTCATTTGTTATGGGGGGCGGATATGACGTAAATGAGACCTGGCTGGGCCGGGCCGTTTGCGTCATAAAATGTAATGCCAGGTAGCGGAGATATAAACACAAAGGGTTTTTCCTCCCCTTACAATAAAAACATGCTCAAAACATGAGCACTCTTGCAATATTTTGTTTATTTAACAGTGTCTGATAACCGACACCTCTTGCTCTGAATTATTGCATCAAAATGTCTGTGCTGTTGCAGTCTTGAGTATGCTGTTGAGGTGTGTATCTGTAAGCTGCAAACCTACGATGACACAGCAGCAGCAGAACTGGAAGAAGAAGAAGCGGAAGACCGCCAGTTCCACTGCGGGCCTGATGGGAGCCCTCCGGGGGCCTCATCCGGCCCCTGGGCTGCATGTTTGACACCCCTGCTGTAGCTTGCCCCTCTCTTTCATTAACAGCAATCACAGAACAGCGGAAGCTGAAACCGAAGATGAAGGTACGCATCAGGTGCTGACGCCCACAGGTGCTTTCTTCCCCAACAGCCCCTCTGGGCAGCTGCGGAAAGAGGCTCTGTGGCAAACCAGGCGCTGGCATCAGAAATGGACTGTCCTTGGGAAATTCCAGCACAGAAAAAGAGACGGTGGGGGGTACAGGAGCTGGACTCTGAGCGGTCAGCCCAGATGCTGCATGCAACACTCCTTGGGAGTGAGGCCTCCCTGGGACAACTGCCGTTCCGACCTGGCACCGGCACACTCCCCTGCCCTCCCTCTGTCCTACACCTTAACTCCAATCGGCACGCGGCTCCTGACGGAGTGAGCCAGGGCCCTGGCACAGGGTTTGCCCCCAGCCACTGGCACGACAGAAGGGATCGGACCGCCCGCCTGGAACCGCCACTTTCTCACTCTGCTCTCTTCTACGCAATTTTGCACAGCTCAGTCTGAAATGCTGCGCCTACAACGTGTCCCTGCTGCCCAGGATGTGGGCCCGCCATCAGGGGCTTCTCTGCCCCACTGACTGGCCGCTGGCAAAGCATTATGGCCTCTTACAACTCCAAGGAAGACATCGGGGGGGGGGGGAAAGCAACCTGGTTCTCCTCTCTGGGAGACCTATTTGGAGCAGGAAGAGGCTGGAGCAGCACGGGTGTGCAGCCTGCAATGGACCACACGTGGTTTATGATGGCATTTCTGAGAGCCAGCCTACTGAGACAGCCCAGGACACAGGAAGCCACGGTTTCAAATCCAGACATAAAGCTTGGAGGCGAACGCGAGTCAGTGCCCGTCAGCCCTGCCTACCTCAAGGGCTTCTCCTCGCTAGGGTCAGGTGGGGGGAGGGGAGTTGCGCAGGCGGCCTGGATCATCTTGGCGAAAGGGTGCACCAGGGGTCATTTTGTAGAAAAAGAGGTGCAGGAGCTCATTAGCATAACTTATTTGCATATGCCACACCCCCTGACATCACCGGAAGCGTGGCAGAAGGCAACACCCACCGCTCAGGCTCCACTGGACTCTTTTGGATTGCTAGCAATTGGGGGGGGGGGACGTGCAGCTCTGCCCTCACAGAGGAGGGAGAGCTTGTACCTGAATAAAACTTGGCCTTAAAGGTGTCACTGGACTGTTTTGGATTGCTATCTGGGGAGGGGGGGCTCTGCAACTTACCTGGCTGCTTCTTGCTCTGACTGAGAGCTGCTGGGAGTAGGGGGTGGGGCTTGTTGGACGTCCCCGCCCCCTGGGCTCTTTACTGCAGGAGATCTGCTCCCGCAGGAAATGACCCCTGGGGTGCATAAAAGCCCAGCAACTGACCGGCTACTTGCTCATGTCATTCCTTGGCCCAGACAGCAGCGCTGTCTTGGTTTTTCACTGCGCAAAGGCGGGGTGGAGGGACATTCACCATTTTTAAAAGCCTTTGTTCTCACAGTCCTGCAAGGTATGGGCTGCTTCACACACCGAGCATCTATGTGACATTATGGGAATCCTTCACATAGAATCATAGAGTTGGAAGAGGCCTCCAGGGTCATCTAGTCCAACCCCTTGCACAATGCAGGATATTCACAAATACCTCCCCCTCCACACCTGCACTGACCCCTGTTCCACACCCAGAAGATGGCAAAAAGAACCCCTCCCGGATCTCCAGCCAAACTGGCCTGGAGAAAAATTGCTGCCTGATCCCAAAGTGGCAACCAGCATTTCCCTGGGAGTGTAAGAAAGGGCCACGTAGACGGTCACAAGTATCTTTCTTTGTACACTGGTCGGGAAGCACAACCCCAGTGTTCCCTCTAAGCTGAGTTAGTGTGAGCTAGCTCACAGCTTTTTAGCCTCTGGCTCGCACGTTTTTTGCCTTTGCTCGGGAAGGAGGGCTCCAGAGCAAACTAATTGATGCAGCAGGCAAATCGCTCGCTCACAGCTCTAATGCCAGCAGCTCGCAGAGTAGAATTGTTGCTCACAGGACTCCACAGCTTAGAAGGAGCATCACGCAACTTCCTGGCAAGTATGCATGGCTTGTACATCTGTGTGCCTGGTCGGCCCATGCACCTCCACCAGAGTGTTTCTGTGCAGGCAAAACCTGTGGCCAGCCGTAAGAATTGCCAAGGGCACCCCAGAAGTGTGGGATGACATTACGTGGTGTTTTGCTTTTCTTGGTGGAGGGGGGGAGGGCAGATTTCTCTCACAGTCTAACGACTGAGGGTCAGTGTTACCTCTGAGCTGAGTGAGTGTGAGCCAGCTCACAGTTTTTTAGCCTCCGGCTCACACATTTTTGCCTTCGCTCAGGACCTAGGATGGCTCCGGAGCAAACTAATTTATGCAGTAGCCAAGTCGCTCGCTCACAACTTCAATGCCGGTAGTTCACAAAGTAGACGTTTTGCTCACAAGACCCCTCAGCTTAGAGGGAGCACAGCGTGAGGGTGCAACTGGAAAGGGGAGGGGATGGAGGGGTTTTTGTTCATATTTTCGGGACATCCAAACCCCCCACGGTTCATCGCACTACAGAGTTCTGCTTTCCAACCCCACCCCAGCCATGTGGACTCACTGGCCAAAGTCATTCTCTCCGAACCTCCGTCAAGAGGAGCTGGGGCAGGCAAAGGCGTCGTCATTCCTAGGCCGCAGCTCGAGTGTTCGGGAGCCCTGCCACCCACCCTCTGCGTCCCAACTTCCGAGGAGACCCATGGCCTCACTGCTCCCTGATGCTTCCCGGGGGTGGAATCTTTGGTGCCGATCATCACACAGCCCGGAGCCGGAGGGCGCGGGCAGACGTCTGTCTCGTGCTTCGACCTGGCCCTCGGCCCAGCGGAACACCCCCGCCTCACCCTGTCCCCGCACATGCAAGCTGCGCCCGGGCTGGTGCCGCGCACGACCACCCCCGGCTGCCCTAGGAAGACGGACCCCCTACCTGAGATTGCTGGGGGATGTTTAGAAAGTTGCCGTCCCGGGGTCCGATGCCGACAAACCGGTTGGCAGAGGAGGAGGAGGCTGGCGCTGAGAATGCTGGAGGGGAAAGAGACGTGAGGCCGTTAGGGCCACCGGGCCACGCGGAGGAGGAGGAGGAGGAGGGTGACGAGTGGTCGTGGGGAAGGAGGCCGGGGGGCGAGCACCTCAGGGTCACGCAGCGAAGACCAGAGGAAGAGAGAGACCGAGGCCGGGCCGAAGACCCTCCCCGCCTCCTCCAGCCAACCTTTCCTCAAAGGGCTCAGGAAGGGAGCAGGAGAGCCACGGCTGTTCCCAAACATGACCTGCTGACAGGGAGGGGAGCAAACGCTGGTTTGACTGGAGAGAGACTGGGGCTTGCAGGCCGGAAGAACAGGGCAGTGCAGCGGCCAGCGGCCTCTGAGGGGAACGGGCCATGGGGGCTTCAGAGAGCCTTGTGGATTGAGGTGGACCTCACAGAGGCACTGGCCTTTCTCTCTCTCTCTCTCTCTCTCTCTCGTGGCCCCAAACCTCCATCTCCTGGCCCCAGTTCTGCCCTCACCCCAGAGGTGGCCGGGGTGAGCGCCGGGAGCAGCTTGAACCACCCACCCACCCCTCACTCCTGCGGTGGAGTCGATGGCATCGCAGAACATGCCCAAGTATGGGCCTGGCAGGAGATGGAGTCTTGTGGTCGACGGGCCTCCCCTGGGCATAGCACGGCGTGCCAGAAATAACTGAGCTCAGTCCGTTGGTATTTTGGTGGGGTGGCAGAGGGAGGCGGGCTCTAGGAGGGGCTGCGAGGGGGCAGCGGTGAGCGGGCAGACAACCCCCCCCGGCCTGGAGCAGAGGGCCCCCGAGAAGACCCACCTTGGCCAAGAGGTCTGTCGGGAGACTGGGGAAGCGCCCCTGGAGCCTCTTGGGACTACGCCTCGGTGTGTGTGCACACACACAGCCACAGAGACATACGCAGCCACCCCCACCCCCACTTCACCCCGTTCCAGCTCAGCCTCTGACTGCAAACGCCTCTTGTTGCCTGAAGCTGCCTTCTCCGTTGCCCATCCCTCAAGGGCCTGTGGGGGGCCAGGCAGGCAGAGCCGCTTGCTTGGTGGGCCAAAGGCCAGGCTTGCAAACGTGACTTCAGGGAATGGTCTCCAGGAGGACCCCTCCTCCCCGTTCACGGCCAGCCCCTAGGGCAGGGGGTCCCCAACGTTTCTGAGCCTACGGGCACCTTCGGAACTCTGGGACTGCGTAGCCGCAAAATGACTGCCTCGGGAGGCAGAGCCAGCGACAACATGGCCGCCGCAGCTCAGCTTCAGTCACCAGGGAAGAGCCGTGTCGTGTGGTGGCAGCTGCCACCAAAGCGACCTTTAACGAGATCGGCACTGCCAATCAAATCGCCAACGGCCAATCAGAAGACTTTCTGAGGCCTCGCCCACTTCCTGGGTGGGTGCTGGGAAAGGGGGCGGCGGGCGGCACCCGTTGGCCCCACGCTGGGGACCCCTGCCCTGGGGGAAAGCCCATAATTCAAGGTGGGTTGCCCCATCCGCTCTGCCTGCTGTCCGGCCACCAAAGAGGACTCGGAGCTGGGCGACACGGCAGATCCACGGGCCAGGTCTGTTGCTGGACTGCACCACTTCAGACTGCGAGGAGGGAACGAAACGTCGCACAAAACGAACACGTGAACGTGGGAAGGGAGAGAGGGCTCGGCATCCCCGCGGGGATACACTCCCGCATTCGGTTGAAATAACAGAGACGCTAATTTGCACGTTACTCCCAACGAAGCTCCCCCTGCCTGCAGTCTAAAACGGTCCATCCCTGCAAGAGGGCCGACCTTCTGGGGGGGTACGTGGGCCTCGCCTTCGCAAGCGGCAAGGAGACCTCCTGCGTCTGAGGTCACCCTCCTCGTGGCTGCAGGGAACACGCATCCACTGAGCCACCCAGGGAGGACAACCCCCCCCCATTTCCTCTTCTGCCCCCGCCCTCCCCTCCTCACTCCCCCCCCACCAGTTTAATGGAGAATATGGACAGTGCGACGAGGGTGAGCGATGCCATGAGACAGATGCAGAAGGAATCGAAATCAAAAGGCAGGAGGGAAGAAGAGAAAGTAAAAGGAGAAATGACAGCGATGCATGATCCCTTTCTCCAAATCCGCTCGCCTGAGCCAAGGAAGGCGGTGAGACGCTGCTTTGGCACGGGAGAATGCAGGAATCCTGGCGCCCTTCGCTCCTGCACTGAGTCTAGTCACTCCCCACCCCCGTCCCCCACATGCCGCCTTCCCCACCAATGGCAATAGAGCTAGGCGCCCTGGCATGCAGACACACATCTTCCCCCATCAACCCATGAGGCACACTGGCCCTCCTGCAGGTTGGGACAGAAGTCCTGCGCTCCTCGCCCCCCAAAAAGGGACTGTCACCCAAATGGCCGGCCGGGCTCTGTTTCTCACCAGACATTGGGGGGGCCGTCTCTGGAGGTTTTGGGTCCCAAATTCTCTTCCTCCCCCTTCCAACGGGCATGCCTTCTAAAGAAAGCACAGACGGCAATCCGGGGGGGGGGGGGGGGAGAAGCCGATTTTTTTTTAAAAGCATCCGATGAGTACCCACGAGCACAGCCCTTCTTCGTATCACATCCCCCTCCCCAAAATATCTAACGGTTTCCCTTCTTCTCCAATTTCTGTAATAAAGTATAGAAGTTTATTGTTGTCCCCTTTTTAAAAAAAATAAAAAAATATCCCCCAGTTCCTTACCCAGGAGCCACCATGGCAACCAACCAACAACATAACGAATTAGAAAAAAAATATTTTTTTTAAAGAAAATTTAAGGTGTCGGATCTGGGCAGCTACTGCATCTTTAAACGCTGGGGATGGGATGGAAGGTGGGAGGGCGTGGATGGTGGCCGAGGGGGTGGGGTGGAGGAATCGGATGGGGTGTCTGAACCTTGAGAACAAGCACACGGCACGAGACGGAAGGATGGACGACGATGGACAAACAGACGGACGGACGACATGGTGCCCCCATCCCGCCACTTGGTGCCCCCGAATGCCTGTCGCCCTCCCCCGGCCTCTCTAAAGTCTGTGCTCCTTCCTTCCTCCTCCCTTCCCTCTTTCCTTCCTTCCTTCCTCCTCCCTTCCCTCTCTCTCTCCCTTCTTTTCTTCCTTCCTTCTTTCTTTCCTTCCTTTTCCCCTCTCTCCCGAGACGCCTCTCTTTTCTTCTGCACCGGTTGCTGGGGACACTTCCTTCTCTGGTCCTCCTCCTCTCCTGGCCCTTCCTCCTCTCCTGCTCGGCCCCCGCGTGAAGGGTGTGGGGATGGGTTCGGGCGGGTGGGACTGAGCTCTTTGGCCGGGAGGTTCGGGTGACGCTCGGGTCCACTTACAGGGTGATGTTGGCGTCGGTGCTCCGCCCTCTGGGTGAGCGCTGGTGGATTTTGTATCAGGCATTGGAAGGGGCACAGGTCTGGCCACAGGTGGTGGCGGCGGCAGCAAAAATGACCCCGTGACTTTGCCCTGGCCGCTACCGTTAGGCTGCGAACAACATAAATACAGTGATGCGTGAACGAGACAAGGCAACGTTAAAGATGCAGTATCCGCTGGCGGCTCTCAGGGCGGAGAGTGAGGGGGAGGACTTCCGGTTCCGGGGCGGAGGGGCCTTCCCCCTCCCTTAGTTCTTTTGCACACACACACAAAAAAAGAGAGAGAGAAGGTATTTGGATTGCAGGTCTTCCCCCTTGACTTCCTCTCGTCGCCTCCCTACCCCTTTCTCTCAGACCCAGGTGCTCCTCCTTCTCCCGAAAAGAGCCCGAATTGCCATCCGGCTTGATTGGCAGGCCCGGGCGATGGTGTTTCCATGTAGACGGATGGAGCTGCTCCCCACCACACCTCTGGCCTTCTCTGGATTGCCATAGCTACACTCCTGACGTTAGCACTGTCCTCTCGGTTCAGTACCCGCCCTGGAACGGAAGTGCTACCAGGTCTGCCTGTGAGTCCCTACGGACGCCCGGAGAGAAAGGCCGAAGCAGCAGAGAGAAGATGGCCCACCACTCCTGGTGCCCAATGGGACCAGCCGGGCCAAGCCATGAATCAGACCCCCCCACCCCGTCCATCAAGGTCAGTGATCAACACATGGGGTTCACTGCCACAGGAGGTGGTGGCAGCTACAAGCATGGACAACTTCAAGAGGGAATCAGATAAGCATATGGAGCAGAGGTCCATCGGTGGCTATTAGCCACAAGCTATCGATAGGAACTCTTGCTCTGGGGCAAGGGATGCTCTGTATTCTTGGTTCCTGGGGGGGCAACAGTGGGAGGGCTTCTAGTGTCCCGGCCCCACTGCTGGACCTTCTGATGCCCCCTGGTATTTTTGACTACTGTGTGACAGAGTGTTGGAATGGATGGGCCATTGGCCTGATCCAACATTGGCTTATCTTATGTTCTTATAAGAGGGAATTGGATCAACATCTGGAGCAGAGGTCCCTCAGTGGCTCTTAGCTACAAGGTATAGACAGGAACTCTCAGTCTGGGGCAAGGGATGCTCTGTATTCTTGGTGCTTGGGGAAGGGCAACAGTGGGAGGGCTTCAACTGTCCTGGCCCCACTGCTGGACCTCCTGATGGCACCTGATATTTTTGGCGGAGTGTTGGACTAGATGGGCTATTGGCCTGATCCAACATTGGCTTCTCTTGTGTTCTTATGTTCTCTTATGTCTACTCATGCTGGCAGTGGCGCTTCAGGGACTCAGGCAGAGAAAGGCCCTTCTACGGCCTGGTCCTTTTCACTGGAGACGCTGCAGGGCATTGAGCCTGGGGCCTCCTGCATGCCAAGCAGATGCTTTGCCACTGAGCCCCGGCCCCTCCCCAAATGTTAAGGCAGCCTCAGTGTAGATGGAAGCCAGGCCACTTCAACACCCAGAACACACAAAGGTGCCTTCTGCTGAATCAGACCCTCAGTCCATCACGGTCAGTCTTGTCCACTCAGACTGGCAGTGGCTCTCTCCAGGGTCTCAGGCAGACAAAGGTCTTTCCCATCACCAACTGACAGACCCCTTTTTTAACTGGCGATACTGCCGGGGATTGAAACCAGGACCTTCTGCATGCCAAGCAGAGGCTCTGCCACTGAGCCACGGACCCTCCCCAAAGTCAAGCAAACGGATTAAGAGGACATGCCTTAGTTCCCATAAAAGATGTCTCTTCCCGTGTCAGTAAATGCCAGCCACAGACCTCTCCATACATCCAGAAACTAACTGGTCCTCAAGACAAAAAACCGGGAGATTTTGCAAAAGCAATACGGGACTTTGTAGCATCTCATTTCTTAGCTGTCAATCACGGGGGGGGGGGGAAATCTCTTTTTAAAAGATCATTTAAAAAAATAAAAAGCTGAAACTATCCATGTGCGTCACATAGCTAGAAAGCTGGGTGTGGGATTTGCTGCCAGAGGACGCTGCGAAGGCCACGGGCATAGACGGCGTTAGAAGGGGATTAGACAGATTCACTCACGGAGGAGAGGTCTAAGAGTGTCTACGAGCCACACGGTGTCTAGAGGGAACTTCACTGTTCAGACGCTCTCAGCCTCTGCATCCCAGAGCCAGGAGACAACATCTGGGGAAGGCCTCAGCCTCTCTGCCCTGTTGCTGGCCCTCCGGAGGAACCGGTTGGCCAACATGTGATATCGGGTGCTGGACTGGATGGGCCACAGGTCTGATCTCGGCGAGCTCTTTTTATGTTCTGAAGCCTCCTGAATTTTCGTGTCTAGATTCAACATCTTTTTATGTTCTGAAGCCTCCTGAATTTTCGTGTCCAGATTCAACGTCTTTTTATGTTCTGAAGCCTCCTGAATTTTCGTGTCTAGATTCAACATCTTTTTATATTCTGAAGCCTCCTGAATTTTCGTGTCTAGATTCAACATCTTTTTATGTTCTGAAGCCTCCTGAATTTTCGTGTCTAGATTCAACATCTTTGGGAAGATCTTCTTCCCAACTCCCATCTCAGCTTGTCCTGGCCACGTGCCATCTGCAGGAGTCAAAGGACGCTGAGCCAGGGCCTCCGCAGGCCGAGACCCCCGAGAAGGGCATCAAAGCTCTTGGGGATGCCCTTGGTTACAAGCAAGGAGAGAGAGAGAGTGGTCTTGCTCGAAAGCTCTGCCCCCCCAAGTCACTCTGCTGAGCCGCAGTTTTTCCAGCCCTGAAACAAAAACAGGGCTGGCAGCTCCCCCCTTTGGGCAACTATGTTCCCTCTAAGGTGTGGAATCTTGCGAGCAAAAATTCTACTTTGAGTGGTCTGAACTGGCAGAGACTGATCAGGAGAGAGATCTTGGAGTCGTAGTAGATAACTCAGTGAAAATGTCGAGACAGTGTGCGACTGCAATTAAAAAGGCCAATGCTATGCTGGGGATTATTAGGAAGGGGCTTGAAAACAAATCAGCCAGTATCATAATGCCCCTGTATAAATCGATGGTGCGACCTCATTTGGAATACTGTGTGCAGTTCTGGTCACCACACCTTAAAAAGGATATTATAGCTTTGGAAAAAGTGCAGAAAAGGGCAACTCGAATGATAAAAGGGTTGGAACACTTTCCCTATGAGGAAAGGTTAAAGTGCTTAGGGCTCTTTAGCTTGGAGAAACGACGACTGAGGGGTGACATGATCGAGGTCTATAAGATTATGCATGGGATAGAGCAGGTTGAGAAAGAAGTCCTTTTCTCCCTTTCTCACAAGACAAGAACTCGTGGGCACTCCATGAAATTGCTGAGCGGTCGGGTTAGAATGGATAAAAGGAAGTACTTCTTCACCCAAAGAGTGATTAACACATGGAATTCACTACCACAGGAAGTGGTGGCGGCTACAAGCACGGACAGCTTCAAAAGGGAATTAGATAGGCATATGGAGCAGAGGTCCATCAGTGGCTATTAGCCACAAGGTATAGATAGGGACTCTGGGGCAAGTGAGGCTCTGTCTTCTTGGTGCTTGGGAAGGGGGTCAACAGTGGGAGGGCTTCTAATGTCCTGACCCCACTGCTGGACCTCCTGATGGCACCTGGTATTTTTGGCCACTGTGTGACTTATGTTCTTATGCTACTTTGTGAGCTACTGGCATTAAAGTTGGGAGCGAGCAATTTGACTACAGCATCAATGAGTTTGCTCTGGAGCCCCATCCTCGCTGAGCGAAGACAAAAATGCGTGAGTTGGAGGCTAAAAAACTGTGAGCTAGCTCACATGAACTCAGCTTAGAGGGGACAGTGTTGGGCAAGATCCTGACAGCTTCTAAAGGGATGCGGTTCCTCGTCCAAAGCTTTCAGGGGCAATTCGAGGATGACCGGGGCCAGCTGCCCCATGGGACTGAGCTCCCGCCCGTACGCGGCCTTTCCGATGCCCCAGGGAACTAGCGGGAGGTGGAGACCCTTCGCTAAACCAGGAGACTGGATCCTGTGCATGGAGCAAAACACGGCCTTTGAGTCTCTTGTGAGGCTTCTGCTCGCCTTTGCCTTCTTCCTCAGATGGGCAGAGAGCCATAGTTTTTGGGACCCGTCTCTGTAAGGCCGAGGCTGCTCAGAGCCCGTCAGGCCCGAGAGGGCTGTACCTCCCTTCCAGGTTCTTCTTGGGCTGGCGAGCTGGGATGGGGCAGACGAGCGGTGGAGCGAATGCATCTCGTTGGAGTCACAGCGGCAGCTGACACATCTCGTCTCAGCCCCGAGGACGGGGGGCTCCCTTAGACGGGCCACGGGAACTCTCTCAAGGGAGAAGCGGCACTCCTCAAGCATCTTTATCAAAGCACGTCTACAAACTCAGCTGGACTCCAAGCAGATAAGAGACCGACCCAACCTTACAAGGCTTTAATGTCACAGCACACCACTCTGTGGAAAACACCACGGGGCCCTGAACGAGGGAGCAATCCAGGGCCCCGTGGGGTGTGTGTATGGGGGGGAATACCTGTGCCAGCTGCTAACACCCCCAATGCTTGCTCTCCTGAAGCCCCCACCCCACCCCCACCGCTTGCACAGACCTGGGGTCAGCGCGACCCCAGAACCACAAGGGTAAGAAAGAAGTCTTGATAAAGGGCCAATGTTAAAAACTAAGTTAAAACTTATAATATACAAAAATACATGTATTTATTAGAAAGACACGATCGGAAGGTAATTTTGTATATTATCGATTTTTTAATTTCTGTTATTGTATTGGCTTTCATTTACTGCATTAGCTTTTTAAATATATTTTATCTTGTAGATGTTCTAATTCAGCCGCAGTGCATTTGGCACCAGACAGACAACTTTCATCTTTTGAGGCCTCACAAACCTTTGTCTTGTGTCTTTAGATTTTGCTGCTTAAGTAAGTAATATAGCCATTTTTACTACACTGTAAGTTGAAAAATATTTGATTATTCATATTTAATATCCTTTAATTTTTTTTCTACAGCCTTCCTTTTCTTGGTCCATTATTCATTTATTGGTTATCTTATTGTAATACATATTAAAGTTACGTGTACCTCAATATTGTTTGACCTCTGAAGGAGGCCCCAATAGGGTGGAAACGCATCAGGCCGTGTGTCTTGGTGCTGGTGTTTAGGCCACCTTTCCTTGTTTACGAGGCTTACATTGGGCCCTTTTATTCATTGGGCCAGTTTGGTGTCGTGGTGAAGTGCGCGGACTCTAATCTGGGAGAAAAGGGTTTGATTCACCACTCCTCCACATGTACATGCTGTAGTTCTGACAAGAGCTGTCCTTGAAAAAGAGCAGTTTCCATCAGAGCTCTCTCAGCCCCGCCTACCTCGCAGGGTGTCTTTTGTGGGGAGGGGAAGGGAAAGGAGTTTGTCAGCCGCTCTGAGACTCCTTCGGGTAGTGAAGGGCCATGGGGTATACATCCAATCTCTTCTTCCTCTTCTTCTTCTATATGTTTTTAACTGTCTTTCTAATAAATACACGTATTTTTGTATATTATAAGTTTCAACTTATAAGTTTTTAGTACTGGCCCTGTATTTGACTTCCTTCTTACCCTTGTTGTTCTTGGTCCTCCTGTCCTGTCCTGTGCCACGAAGCCCAGCGGCGTCCCCAAGTCCGAGCCCTTGAGAGCCTGCGAGGGTGTTTCCAGGGAGGAAAATCCTGGTGGGCGGGGAAAGGGGAAGGAAATGGGGAGGGGGGACAGAGGACACCCGCCCCGCCCTCAGTGGCTGTACCCCCACGCAAGGCAAAATGACAACCCAGAGTTAAACCAGTTTCTGGAACACCCCCTTCTCACCACCCACCACCCCCTCACTAATCCTGGCTGTCCCCAGATAGCAGTTCTCCTAGCTTGGGCACGGGCACTGTGCCAGGCCAGTGTTCCCTCTAAGCTGAGTTAGTGCGAGCCAGCTCACAGTTCTTTAGCCTCCGGCTCACGCATTTTTGTCTTCACTCGGGAAGGATGGACCCAGAGGCAAACTGATTTATGCAGCGGCCAAATCGCTCGCTCCCAACTTTAATGCCAGGAGCTCATAAAGTTAGAATTTTTGCTGACAGGACTCCACAGCTTAGAGGGAATATTGGACTGCCGGCCCGCGTGCGGTGAACACAGCAAGAGGCCAAGAGCGGACGAGGATCAACCAGTGCCCTCCACTAAACGGGGCCCGTTCTGCCCACCCTACCTGAGGGCCACGCAAATGTGTGCCTACCGCGGCCCCCCCCCCCCCCCCCCCCAATGCCCCAGACAGGCAGGCAGGCAGGCCAGAAGACAGAGAGGGAAGGGAGACAGAGGGGGAGAGGAGGCCGAGAGGGAGAGCGGTCCGAGAAGGGCTGGTGGGCGGCAGGGGAGGGGGGGCGCTGGCCGAAGCAGCTGTGCCCCCCCCCCCGGGCTAAGGGGCGAGGCTCTTACCTGCCCAGAGCCCTGCCCGGAGCCATCCGAGCACACAAACTGCACGAACTCCTTCAGCGAGTCCTGGCCGTGGTGGTGGTGGTAGCGGATGGTCGGGTGGGTGAAGTAAGGGCTGGACTGTTGGATGATGGAGGTTGACGGGAAGTGCAGGGCCGACGCTGTGGCGCGGGGGCTTCCTGGAGAGTGTCGGGTCGGAGGGACAGAGACAGAGAGAAACAGAAAAGGGAAGAAAGGGGGTGGGGGGACAGAGAAAGAGGTCAGTAACAACCCCCGTGCTGTGCTGCTTCCAATCCACACACAGCCCAACAGCCATGGCACCAGCCCTGCGCCTGCTCAGCGCCCGCCCCAGAGAACCACCACCCCCACCCCCGTCTTGTTTGTGGGAAACGGGAGCACTGCCTCGACCCTCCCTCCCGCTGAGTGGGTGGGACACTGGCCCTTTTCCGCGAGGGCTGACGCGGAAGGGTCCGAGACTCTAAACGCGGGACAGGTGGGTGTGTGTATACCCACACGCACATTGGGGATTAGGGACGCTTGAGTGTGTTTGTGTTTATGTATGCCTGCGCGCACACATACCCACACGCACAACAGGGATGAGGGATGCTTTGGCTTCTGCGCGTGTAACTCATCGCTCATCCTGTTCGCTACTCTTTGACCGAACTCGTAGGCACCACTTCCAACCAGTGCCCCTAAACCTCCCCTCCATCCAAACAGAAGCTACCTAAGTAGAACTGCATTTTCTTACGCCCCACCCTTGCTACCCTGGCCTCCCCCCTCCCCACTCTGCTTCCTGCTCTCCTTCTCTCACTTGATTTAAAGGTTACAGACTCCTCGGGGCAGAGACTTCTTCTAGACGTATCACTCTTTAAAATGCTATCGACTTGGATGACATTGCATAAAGGTAAAGGTTTCCCTTCCTCGAAACCCAGTCAGATCCGACTCTAGGGGGTGGTGCTCCTCTCCGTTTCCAAGCCGAAGAGCCAGCGCTGTCCGAAGACGTTTCCATGGTCATGCGGCCAGCATGGCTAGACAGCAAGGCGCACGGAATGCTGTTACCTTCCCCCCGAAGCGGTACCTATTGATCTAATTGCAACTTCTTGCTTTCGAACTGCTAGGTTGGCAGGAGCTGGGGCCAGTGACGGGAGCTCACTCCGTCACGCAGCACTCGGGTCTCGAACTGCCAAACTACAGACCTTCCGGTCTGCAGCTCAGCGACTTGCGTAACTAATGAATAAATGCCCTTGCCTTTCCTCCACAAGGCTGGAATGGCATCATTGCATAGCAGGGTGATCCTCGCCCCCTGCACTGGCTCCAGATTGTGGGCCGGGTCAGGTTCAAGGTTTTGGTACTGACCTTTAAGGCCCTAAACGGTCTGGGACCAGCATACCTTTGGGACTGCCTCTCCTGGTACCCCCCCCCCCCCTGAGCACTACGTTCACGTGATCAAAATCTGCTGGTGAGCCCCAGACGGAAGAACATCTGACCGTCCTCAGTTAGAGCCTTCTCAGCCCCGGCTCCTGCCTGGTGGAACACTCGTCTGGTTGAGGTCCGGGCCCTGCGGGACCTGATGCAGTTCTGCAGGGCCTGTAAAGCAGAGTTGTTCCACTGGGCCTACGGCTGAGGGCAGTGACGGCCTCCATCGTGGATTGGCCTCCTCCATTTTCTTCGTTCTTCCCTTCCTCCCCCCTTTCCTTCTGAGTAGACAGTGTATACATTACATTGTCGAAGGCTTTCACGGCCAGAGTTCATTAGCTGTTGTAGATTTTCTGGGTTGTATGGCCGTGGTCTTGGCATCGTAGGACCTGGCATCCATATGCAAAAGAACCTCCTCAGGAAAGCTCCTCCATTAGCATGTTCACAGCCTGGGAACTCCTACATGATAATGAGTCAGCCCTACCCCACCTTCCTGAGTAGATATAAATTACCTGCCTACCATTTTGCTTCTCACCTTGACACGGAGAGTACTCCGTCTTTCTGTGTTATACCTCTGAGGATGCCAGTCACAGCTGCTGGCGAAACATCAGGTCCTACCATGCCAAGACCTCGGCCACACAGCCCGGGAAATCTACAACAGCTAGTGTATACATTACTCCCCCCTGATATTGCATTTAATTTTAATTGCATCGTTGCTCTGTATTTAGTATGAATTTCGTTACATTTATTGAATGTATATACTTGTTTTGGACGGCTGAATGTTTTTTATCGGTTGTTGTTACACGCTCTGAGCCTGGTCGCAGGGGAGAGTGGGCCACAGGTCCAATAGATGAAATGAAATGAATGAAATAATGTGTTCCCCGCCCTGGGAAGTACGAGTAACCAATGCTCCCTCTAAGCTGTGGAGTCTTGTGAGCAAAAAATCTACTTTGTGAGCCACTGGCATGAAACTTCTGAGAGAGCCATTTGGCTACTGCATAAATTAGTCTGCTCTGGAGCCGTCCTTCCTGAGCTAAGACAAAAATGTGTGAGCCTGTCATGATCTAGGCTGTGCTACCAGAGGCCTACTAGGCCCAGAGAGCCTAGCTAGCAGTAGGTGAGGTTGGGCCTACAACTCCCAGAAGCCCCTGGGAGGTTTTGGAGCTAAAATGGACCAATAGGAAAAGAGGAGGGCTTGGAATAAAAGATCTGGGGCAGTAGGAAAAGCTGTTCTTCTTCCCAGAGGGCAGAGTCAGAAGGAAGGCTGCTGCAGGGAAGAGACCCTCATCCTGAGGGAAGGGTGAGTAGTCTAGTGCCACTTGGAATAGTGAGCTAGGGGACAGTATATATTTAGACGTGTTGGGGCATTTGGTTTCTTTTCTTTTCACCCACTTACTGTTATTATCCTGCACTTTGTTGTTTGACCTCCTATAAAATAAATAAACCTTTTCCTTGTTTCACTCTGCCTGGTCCTCACGCCTGTTATTCGGCCAAACAAGGGAGGTCTGAAGGTCTTCTTGGGAGGGTGCTCTGGGCCTTCTCCCCGCTTCTCTCCAAAACTTGTGGGGCCTTGGGAAGACGTCAGGGGGCCAGGCCCCGGGAGGCCCCACTGTAGCTGCAGGCCTGCCCCAGAATAAACCTTTTTTTGTCCTATAAGAAATATGTTGTCTTCTGACAAAGCACTGTGACTGCACAATCACCGCTGGAACTGTCCAGTCCAGTTGGGTTTTTTTTTGTTTTTAGAGAATACAGATTTAGATCTATGGACCGGTTCCCAAGTTGGTGTTACTGGAGGTCAAACAAGACATGAAAAACCTCTAGAGATGTGGAAAGAAATTTGCATTCGTTACTGTCTAAATGAACCTGAACCTAGCAAGAAATTGCAAGTAGATAAATAGGTACCACTTCGGTGGGAAGGGAACAGCGTTCTGTGCGCCTTGGTGTTTAGTCATGCCGGCCACATGACCACGGAGAGGTCTTCGGACAGCGCTGGCTCTTCGGCTTGGAAACGGAGATGAGCACCGCAACCCTAGAGTCGGCTTTCGAGCAAGGGAACCTTTACCTTTACCTTTTTACTCTAAATGATCGGCTAGATGCAAGCCCAGGAGCACATTGGAGACCAGCAAGATTTCCAGAGTGTGAGTTTTGGAGAGGGAGTCTCGACTCCCCCCCAAAACCTCCTTGGTCTATAAGGTGCTCCAGTTCTTGAATTGAGCTGCACTACCACCAACCAGCACGGCTACTCTCTGAAACTATTTTCCTGCAAGATCTGTGTCTCGAGAGAAAGGGAGGGAGGATGTCAGCAACTGGAGATAAGAACGCTAATGTTTTGTGGGGAGGAGTAGATAATGCAAGGGAACATTAACTCGCAGTTAAGTACAGAAACGAAAACCTCAGGGCGCATCAAACATGGATTCTGATGTCTCTACACTAATGCGCAGAGAGTACGGGGAACAAGCAGGAGGAACTGGAAGTCCTAAACACAGGACGCGGACGATGACCTAACAGGCATTATGGAAATTTGGTGGGGTGACATTCACAATTGGAGTATTAGGATTGAGGGGCACAACTTGTTTTAAAAGGAGACTCAGGAGGTGGTGGATGCTCCTTCGCTGGACGACCATGTTCCTGGTATGTTGTAGGGCTATCTTTCGGCTCTGCTCCTGCAGAGTGCAGGGGGTTGGACTAGATGACCTGCAAGGTCCCTTCCAACTCTAACATTCTGTGATTCTATGACAGACAAATAAGGGCCCTGGTCACACGGGCCGGATATTGCGGGGGGGGGGAGGCGTGGCTGTTTGCCCTGGAGCGAACTATTACACGGCTGCCGGATCAAACGTCCCGCTGACGTCCCATGGTTCAGGGGGAGGTGCTGATCATACGTCAATCCTGCGGCGCGGCAAAGAAGCGGCGCGGTGGGGGTTGTGTTTTTTTTAACCGAGGGTGTGCGCATGCGCCGTTGGGTGCTTGTGTGCATCCCGTGGAGACTTGGGGGAAAAAACCCTTTTCACGACGGGACATGGGCGGGCGCCGGATGCCATGACCTACCACCGGAAATGCAATCAGGCGCCTGCCCTTGCCCCGCGGTTTCCGGAAACTAGTACCTCCGAGGTACTAGTTTTTTACGGCGCATCTTCGGCAGGAAGCCTTGGGTTAGCCACGGGAGCTCTACACTTCCCAGATGTTGCGGTTTGATCACGCCCGGAAAATCCGCCTATCTTCTGTCTCTGTAGCGTGGCTAATGCTCCGTGTGACCACAGCCAAGGAAGGGCAGATGAGTTGCATGATATGTAAAGGAGGTATCTACTTGCGAGGACATACGTGAATCTGAGCATGGAAGTCCAGTTGAGAGTCTCTGGGCGAAAATAAAAGGAGTAAGAAATAATAGTGCTATTACGGTGGGGTTCTGCCATAGACCACTGAGCCAGGCAGAGGACTTGGATGAGACGCTCCCAGAACAGACTGCAATGTTCTCAGAGAGACGGGACACAGTGGTCATGGGAGATTTCAATTACTCCAATATCTGTTGGAAGTCCAACTCTGCTAAAAACGAAAGGTCCAATAGATTCCTGACTCGACTGGCTGACAAACTCCATTTCCCAGAAAGTGGGGAGGGAAAGAAGGGGACCTGCTGTCTTGGACCCGATCCTCACCCACAGGGAAGAACTGGTTGACGAGGTGGAAGGAGTGGGGCACCCTGGGTCGCAGTGACCGTGGGAGTTTGGAAGTTACAGTCTTGGGGAAGGCAAAAGCTGTACGTAGT